TAGGTAATAACAAAAATTTAAAAATTAAACGATAATTTGTTTAATTATTTTTAATTATCTTGAAGGGAACCTATGCATTTATCAAAAAATTACATAACAAAAAATAACAGAAAATCCTTGTCAGAGCTGTTTATCTTATAAAGCGTTTAAATTTGATGAGAAAGTTTGTAGATTTTTGCATATAAATAGAGAACAAATCTGACAATGTGTCAAAGTTAATTTATATTTGGTGTTTGTATAGATGTTGACTGATATAGAAACAGAGGAAAAATTTGTCATCATGTGTCAAAGTCGACAGGTGCACTTATTGCTGCTTGACAATTATAATTACTTTTCGGCACTCAGTGCGGATAAGGCCTGTATCCGCACTGAGTGCGGGAAAGTGTAACTTTGAGCCCGGAAATGCGTGCGGAAAAGTACTAATTTGCGCACGCTCGTAGGAAAAATTTTTTACCGCACTGATATGTCAAAAAAAAAGAAAAATTTTACATTTTTACGCCTGTAGGAAAAATATTGTACCTAATACTTGCGGAAAATATTTTTCCGCACTCGGTTGCTTCACCGAACTCCGCTACGCGTCGTTCGGTGAACGGCAGTCGCGTGCGGAAAAATTCATTTTTTTTATAAGCCATTTCACTTATTTAAAGTACTCCTGAGCGTGTTTAAATCCAACATTCAAAAACGCGCGTGTTTTAAAGTTACTAATGACAACATCAACAACCAACAGCCCGAGAAAGGTCTGAATGTCAACTTTTTAATTATTGATTTGTCAGGAGTAGGTACTTGTAGACAACGTCAAGTAAAATATAGCAAGTGTCAACGAATTTAGCATTCCACAATTATTAGTAATTTTTGATTTGAACGTATAGGTGCCAATAAAAAAAAATAGTGTAAAGTATTCGTGGATAACTGGTCTTTAAAACACTTGCTCTATTTCGAGCACTCCGGCTGCGCCGTCGTGCTTAATATCCACTTATACTTTAATATACTATTTCCGCACTTGTTAGGTAAATAGCTATTTCCTACAGCCGTGCGGAAAAATCGATTTTCCGCACTGATATGCGTGCGGAAAATGAGTTTTCCCGCACGGTGCGGTAAAACTTTTTTTTTGACATACCAGTGCGGAAAAAGTTTTTCCGCACGGCTGTCAGTGCGGAAAAAATTTTACCGCACTGATATGTCAAAAAAAAAACAAAAATTTTACATTTTTTCGCCTGTAGGAAAAATATTGTACCTAACACTTGCGGAAAATATTTTTCCGCACTCGGCTGCATTACCGAACTCCGCTACGCGTCGTTCTGCTGAAAAATTCATTTTCCGCACTTGTTAGGTAAATAGCTATTTATGTACCATGGCTTGTAAGTGCTACTTTTTTGGCCGAGGATGCAGTTTGCAAGCCAAGGCCCGTAGGGCCGAGGTTTGCAAGCATTTGAGGCCAAAAAAGTACACGCTACCAGTCGAGGTGCATATGATATTTTTTGTGCTACCGTACATTCAAGATAATAAATATCATGAATTTGCTGGTGCACCTATTTGCTTTGTTCGCGAAGAAGATCCCAAACTGATCTTGAACGCTAAGAAAAGAATCACATCAAGAAAAGCCATTGATATTCAAAATTACAAAGTGAATAACTATGAAGTATCTCATTTTTATACACTCATCAAAATAGTCTAGGGAACAAGATGCAACTGAATACATTTATAAATTGAACAATAGCTATTTACCTAACAAGTGCGGAAAATGATTTTTTCCGCACGCGGCTGCCGTTCACCGAACGACGCGTAGCGGAGTTCGGTGAAGCAGCCGAGTGCGGAAAAATATTTTCCGCAAGTGTTAGGTACAATATTTTTCCTACAGGCGTAAAAATGTAAAATTTTTCTTTTTTTTTTTGACAGATCAGTGCGGTAAAACTTTTTCCGCACTGACAGACGTGCGGCAAAACTTTTTCCGCACTGATATGCGTGCGGTAAAATTTTTACCGCACCGTGCGGGAAAACTAATTTTCCGCACGCATATCAGTGCGGAAAATCGATTTTTCCGCACGGCTGTAGGAAAAATATATTTTTAAAAGATTTTTGAATTTTGTTAAAGCCTGCTGGAAAAGCCGATATGATAAATTTTACAAGTTTTGTTCAACAAACACCCATATGGTATCTTTTTAAAAAAAGTTATTCTGTCTAAAAATTAAAAGACGAATATTTCTTGTTCCCTAGACTTTTTTGATGAGTGTATTATTGCCTATCTGTTCATGCTAATTTCAACTTCTTGACATCTAGGTATTTTCTATTTGTTTCAATAAAATTGTACGTATTCTTAATTTGTTTTGGGTTTTTTATTTAGAGAGTCGAGTGTTTTTTGTGACATTATTTTGACAGAGATATGAACCAAGCAATTTTCACCTTTCATATCAACACTTTTTTGACCCGGTCAAAAAAGTAACTTTTTTGGCCCGGTCGACCCGGACTGTGAGTGACACTTACAGTTCATGGATGTAGGTCAAAAAAGTCAACTTACAGAATGGGTAGCACACTTTATTTTCCTGATTTTACCTGCCGCAAATATTTTTGCAGAATCCCATTGAGGAATTATGTGCTCGATAGAACAAAAATCGCGGAGACGGTTTTTGGCAACAGTCAAATAAAATTGACACCATAGTTGTTACCAATGATAATTCTAATAAAGAAGGACCTACACATTGTTAAGATATTGAAACTCCTCAACTTCAAGAACTAATTGATGTCATTCAACACTTTGTACATTCACGTTCAATATAACAAACAATAAGTAGATGTGTACTGTATTTTACTCTTATAATAAAATGTGTTAGGTTCGATGGTTAAGTTATATCTTCATTTTTTACAGTTATCAATTTTAACGGTTGGCGATAAAGTTTTGCATGCACCAATAAAGTGTCTTTTATCGAACTCGCCCTTTTACTTGCCTCGCTCGACTCATAATCTCAGACTCGTTCGATAAAGTATCACTTCACTGCATTGTACTATTATGTTATTTTTTGTATAAGCACCACAAAATTATATTACAGATCTTATGTTTTGTTATTTCCTGTATACTTACCCACCCTAATAGTAACATTTCTAATAGTTTTACTTACCTAATTTTTTTCAATTTGTTTTTCACACTTTTTCGACGCTCGTTGGTGGTTAGGTTAGGCATATTTTCAAACAGCAAATACAACACAACTCGGCAACCGCACAAAAATAAATGAAATAACTAACCTCCTAGAATAATAAAATTATTCCATTCACAGGCCCTGCACCCGAAAACCCCACCCCCAGGTACCTAATTAATGTAATATATGCATTATTTCTGTGAATCTGAGTCAAAATATTCCAACTGTCTTTAGGGTTATTGGTACCTATTGGTATAGTTTATTCAGAGATATAAGAAAAGTCGTAAAATGCAATAAATCATTACTGTATTGTTCGGCCAAGCACCTACACCCATAAAGGAGCCGAAAACCCGCAGTAGGTAGGTAAGGAGACGGGTGGGTTGTACTAGCCCAATGTTCTGCTTATTTATTTCAACTTAGAAAGTCACTTATTTAACACGAAATGAAACCATATCAGAATGTAAAATTACTTTATTAAAAAATTACAATAAATGTTACTAGGTACTTGCTATTATGGAGTGGCCATATAATTTGATTCATGAATTTATAATATAGGAGCAAAAAAAAATATAAACAAAATGACTTTCTTCTTCCCATGCACGCCACATTTTACAATAAACACTGTTCAGTATAACTCAAGGTATAACACACGAAGGGCAAAATAAGAATATGAATAAATATCTTGCAATATCTTCTTATTATACTTATTTGTTCTTTTTGAACAGGTAAACTTATGTTAATGATGTGGATTTTAACTGCAACTAAATTGGGGTGGGAACCCTACTACGAATTAGGTGCGAGAGGCTAATTATTATTCAATTTTATTTTGTTTACTTTCCAAATTTCATGGAAGATTTAATGCCTTTGTTCTATTCTTAGGTAGGTAATACCGTTGTAATATTGAAAAGTAGGTCTACAGTCCGTTTCATGAGGGTTCATACCCACGTGGTCAATTGTCTTATCTTAAAACCTGAGTTAAACAAATTATTGACGCCATAGACATTAGTTATTGACGAAAGTATGAACCCTCATAAAACGGACTGTACCTACGTTTTCGTCGGAATTTCGCCTGCCGATGCCGGTTATTATTATTTACTAACTTACTGTCACTAAAAATCTGCAAACTTGTTTTAACACTATTCCTTATTAGAAAAAACAAAAAAATCTGAATTAATATTGCCATATTCAAAACAAAATCAAATGCGATCCTGAACGGGGCTGCCATAAATTATTTTTCCTGTTGCTTTTATCAATATAAGGGGTGTAAGCACGTGGCCCAACAAAGAGGCAGATGATTTATTGCATTTTACGACTTTTCTTAGATCTCTGAATAAACTATACCTACTAAATTACATATTGATAACAAAATGCTGCTTTTACTTTACTACCTGCGAGGAGGCAAATTACCAACATCCCTTATAATATAATGCTTGCTTCATGGAAACATAATTATGAAAATTACCGTACCTACTGAAGGTACCTACATAATTTCTTAACCGAAGCAACAAAGTAATTAGAAGACTTTGATCTACTAAAATTGAATATATCTGCTAAATAGAAACGAAAATAAAAATTAATTCAAATAGCGAATATTACACATAATAAGATTATATATATTTCGTGAAAACTTCTAATCTTTGCTCGACTCGCATCATAAGGAATTTACGGCGAGGGAAAATAATGCAGCGGTGAAAATATTTATTGTAGTGTAATTTTGTGTTCCATTTAGCTTTTTAGGCACGTCGCGATTGTCTAGCTTTTCTTGAACTTTCGTCTCGCGCTCGGTGACTAAATAGCTAGCTGCCTGTATTGGAGCCTTCAAGTTCATAAATTTTTAGCAAGTAATTTTTTGTATGTTTTTTTATTTAGCGGTCACAGATATGGCCATGTTGTCCAGATCAGTCTGCGGAATTAAAAACCAAACAGTAATAATCAACTTTCCTGGCAGCTCCAAAGCGGCAGTGGAATGTTTTCGATTCATCAAATCTTCTATTTTACACGCAGTTGCTCTTATCAAAGACAGTATTCGAGAAGTGGAGACGAAACATGCGGAGATACAGTGCAATTTTGATAGGAATCTGTCAGAAGAAAGCAAGGTAGGATTTTATGTGGTAAAATTGTTACTTAATCCTAAGAAAATCCTTGATGATTGTTGTAAACTTCTTGCTACCTACCACTTCAATTTATCCTTTTCTTGAATAAATACCCATTTGTAACTTATCGTTACTACTAGAGACTAGGTAAATTATACTTTCTAGAATCACATCAATTGGTTACAAAATAGATATACATCTCATAGTCATTATACTTACAAGTTGTTTGATTTCATTACTTGCCTCGTATTGAAAATTTCGTTCTTCTCTTATTTTTTCATTATCCTCCAAAATTTCATCTTTATTTGAGTCACTGGAATTACTTTAATCTTTCATCATATTTACTTGAAAAAAATTTTGCTTTATTCTTCGCATTCCATTCCAAACGTCTTTTATTTGTATGAATCGAAACTTAGGATGCAAACTTTCCAAGTTTGACATTTTTCTTATACCACAGCCCACAGCTCTTATGGTGTTAATTGTCACGCTAGACGTAAACAACGCTATTCTTAGCATCCGGTCGTAACAGAATACTTTTTTTAGGTGAAAATCAAAGTAGGCGAATCACGGATTCGAAAATCTCCCTTTCCAATGTTGGAAGTGTCCGATGCGAAAAACATTGTGTTCAAAACAGTTTCAGTCATTCAAGATACTGAACTAATACCAATTGAAAAGGCAGCAACTCGAATTTTGGCCGAGGACGTTATAGCACCAAAACCGGTCCCAGCTTTTCCAGCATCTATTAAAGACGGTTACGCGGTAAGAGCCGAAGATGGCGCAGGATTTAGAGTGGTAGAATATTCAACTGCTGCTGGAGACGGCCTAAAGCATCCAGGTAATCTAGGATTTTATAAAATAATAACGCCAATCAGCAAGCAAAAATTTGTTTCCATTTAGCATTGCAACGTGGCCAGATTGTTCGAATATCTACGGGCGCTCCTCTGCCACCCGGAGCCGATGCTGTGGTTCAAGTTGAAGATACAACCCTAATTGATGTAACTGATAACGGGGATGAAGAGCTGATGGTCGAAATAAATGTCGAACCCAAAGTTGGTCAAGATATAAGGTACAGTAATGAGTCTTACATTCTAGACAAATATAAACCGGCCGTCTGTTTTATTTTTATTTCTATTCCAGACAAATAGGAAGCGATATTGAAGCAAACACTGTTGTTTTCGAGAAACAGGCTGCAATCACTCCTGCTTATATCGGCGTTCTGGCAATGTTGGGAATCTCAAAAGTGAAAGTAATTAAGTAAGTTGACCCAAGTGTCTTAACTTTGAACCTTTTATAATGTATAATCAATTTTAGAAGGCCAACTATTGGAATTATTTCAACTGGAAGCGAATTGGTGAGCTCGAAAGATACTTTAAGGCCTGGACAAATTTACGATAGTAATAAAGTGACTTTAATCGCTTTGCTAAGCAATTATGGCTACGAAGCTAAAGATTGTGGCATTGCAAACGACACGTAAGTGTTTAGAAACCAATCTAAAACTACCGCTGGAAATTAATTTTGCGTTATTAAAACGTCTCTGGCAATGAAACCCAGTCACAATATCATTAGCAGGAATTTAGTTAAATAATTGCAAAATTATGAGAGAAATTTTGGGTTTTGAATTTAGGAGTTACTTTTTTTTAAATGAATAAATGTGTTTCATACTCTAATATGTGATAACCTAGACTTGTAACAAAATATCACGTATAAGTCAAAGCAAGTGTATTAAAATAAAACAGGCAAATGCCTTACTTATTAATAAAACGTCTATAGTATAAAATTAATATTGTTCTTATTTTTGTAGACCAAACAGTCTGAAAGCGGTGCTGGAAAATTCTTTTGATACATGTGATTTCATCATTTCGTCCGGAGGTGTTTCTATGAGCGAGTACGATCTCGTCAAACAAGTACTGGTAGAAGACTTTGGTGCCAAAATACATTTTGGTCGTTTGAATATGAAGCCAGGGTAAGTTTTTTGCTATTACACTTAAAAAATGTTGTTTATCAAGGTGTTCCAAAATTGATGTCAGTGTTCTCTCGTGATATTGCAGATACTTGACCTATTTAGTTAAATAGATAGGACTTGAAAAAACCCATGTTATGTTTTCATTCTGATCGATATAGCAATTACTTCACAATAATGTATTTGAAAAGTCATAGAGGAAAGGGGTAAGCTCATTATAGCATATAAAAAATGGATAATTGATTAATAAATAGTACAGTGACTCTATAACCCACAGTGGCGACAATTGCTGTCTCATTTTTGATTGGTTCTAAAATCCCATATATTTATATTGAAAACACCGCCATCTTGTTCCCAACTCCTTGTTACTTTTAAATATGAATATATGGGATTTAGGTGAACATCCATCATAAATCATGGAAAACAACGTATTTGATGGACCTAATAATGGTCATCAAATACGTCGATTTCAATTTTTTATGATAGATGTCCATTTAAATATTAATATTTAAAAGTAATAAGAGGTTGGGAACAAGATGGCGGCGGGACCTCTATTGTCGCCACTGTATGTAAAGGTTTATTTAGCCACCGTCATAAATAGCGTGGCAATTGGTTAATATAACTCCTCCCTCCTTAAGATGTTGCAAACATGGATTGGTGTTTATTCAAATCAGACAATTCAATTTGCACATTTGCAAAACCTTTTTCTGAAGTTTTAAACTTCCTAAAACAGTAAAACAATAAAATTATGATTAAAATAGCAAGACTTAAACCTATGATTGAATATGTAGGTATTCGAATAAGAGTTTTCAAAAGACAATTCTTATTATTATGAACTCCTATTTGTTTCGTCGTCTTGAAGGCTTCTTCTAGGTCTTCTTGGTTGATTTCTTGAAGTTCCAATGTTGTTTCGTTCTCTGAAAGTTCAGGATTGTCTATTTTTGGAATCTTCAGTTCAAAATTGAAGTTCTCGCTGGTTTTTGAAAATATTCCATTTTTTATTTTTACAAAGCATTTTTTAAAAGAAACCAGCGTTAGATTGGTTATAATTTCCACATGATTCGTCTTGTCACATTGGGTAACTATTGTCATGCTTTTCTTAAGGATGACTAATAGTTGTCCATTCGGGAGTTGTCTCACTGTTGTTTTCTCGTATTTCACTTTAGTGAAAGGACATTGTTATGGTAGGTCAGTAATCAGGTCATGGTCATAGACACATGATTCTTCTTGCTTGACCTCTTCTTGGTTACAAAGGTAAATACTTTCGACTTTTGGTAAATGTCCTTAGTAAGTAATAGGGAAAGGCACTTATTCCATTCCTAATGGTAAGTTCTTCGTTAAGATCAATCATTGGTGTGTGTATAACAAATATATCATAATACTTGATTTTATTATCAGAAGGTATTTGTTGACTTTTGGGTATATTTGTTTATATTTGATTTAATCCCATATGCTGTAAAATAGTATAATGCATTATTCCCAATTGTGCAATAATATATTACAATCCGAGACGAGAAATGCTTCATTACTGGTCGAGAGGTTTTATAGTTGAACCTCGAGACAGCAATGAAGTTTCCCGTCGAGGGTTGTATACTATTTTATTTTTAACCATAATTTCTTGAAAAAAAAAAATTCGGGACAACCAAATGAGGTCGGCAAATGAAGAGGAAAATGAGAACGGGAAATATTTCCCTGCTCCATTTTCCGTCCGTGGACGGGAAATGAGGACGGAAAAAATTTCCCGTCCTCACTTCCCGTCCTGGGACAGGTAATGGAGCAGGAAATTGAAAAGACAGAAATGTGACATTTTCAAATTTTTGAAAAGTCAGTAATGACAACATTTCATATATGGTTAAAAATAAAATTTATTATTAATTGCACATTATCAATTAGATTCCTTATTTTATCACTTTGGATATTGATATTGTTCAATATTAAATTAAAGGTTAACATTGAATGGAAATTTTGGTTTTCCAAGGAAATATTTTGTAATTTTTCTGTGATAACCTTTTGATTAGATTCAATAGTTATAAATTGATCGTTAAATGTTTTTGTAACTTGTTTTGATACATGAGCTTGTATTTTTAGTTCTTCATTGAGAGTCTTTTGATTATCATTGAGCGTCTGGATATAAGAATCACATCTTGCGCCGTCTTCAGCATTTAGGGTTCCGTAGAGCCATTTTTGTGCTGTGCCCATGAAATCTAATAGACCTCTTTTGTTTCGTTTTCGGTCTTGATAGGTTTTTATGACCTGTTTCATAATCCTAATTTGAGAATGACTGTTTTCAATATTTGTTTGAAACAGTGCCACAGATTACCTACATACAGATGCGAAAGAGCGGCGAATTCATGGTTCAAGATTAATTTGATAGACATAAGCTGGCCGCACCAATGCCGCATCAATCAATTTTGAACATATTTATTATATAAATGCGGAAGCTCAATAATATAATATTATTTCTTTAATTGGTTCACAAACGGCAAAAAAATATTCATTTTACCCGCAAAAATATGTAAACACACAGGCTGGAACATGCTCACGCACCCGGCCACGTTAATTGTCCTGACGCGGGCGATCTGTATCTATGCGTCAGGGCGCTGGCTCCCCGGCTTCGTCACAGAATATCGTCGACGGCAAGTATACGAACTTACGCATCTGTATTAGGTGATCTGTGACAGTGCAACAAATTGATTTGACCATGTTGTTTTGTTTAGACTATTTAGAATGTCAGATAATTTCATTAGGGTAATTTCCAGTTTATGGATACCTACTTTGTATGAGAATTGTCGTGTTTATGTGATAATAGGCCGTGTTATGTTACGTACGTAGTTCCTAAAGAAATTGGTAAGATAGGATTTTCTACCGTCATCAATGTATACGCTTGGGTGACTCCAACGAGAGTTAGGAATACTAAAGGATTCATCTCGGGGTACCTGAAATAAATTATTGTCGTTTAAAATTCTGTTTAGCAAAGCGATTCTGTGTTTTGCTATCATAACGCGGACTTATCTTGTCTTTATGAAATTGCTTCACGAAGATTGGATCTTGTAATTCTGATTCGGGTTCACGATTTTTATTGCGTGACTCTAAAGACTTTGTTTATTTCGCTAGTAATTTTCCTTGAATTTCTTTATTTAAATTTGCAAAGGATTCTGCCAAACATGTTATATAGTCAGTTGTTAGTTTATTTTCTGTTTGTTCATTTGGTATGGCATAATTCAAATCTCCTTCAATCACTTGACCAAAGATGTGATTCATTGTACTATGAGTACTGTTGTTATAATTCAATATAGCGATTGTCATTAGATCAATAATACTCCCTTTTGGATTTCGGAGTTTCAAACTCGTTATACTTTCACGTAGTGTCGAATGGAATCTTTCGATTGGACTATTCGAGTTCGGATTTCTTGGAGTTGTGTAATGAAACTCATTTTTGTATAATGTACCATCGTCACCAAAAGTAACTGGGACGGCATCACATTAGCTCTTGTCCTATTATATAAATTTTATTGTCAAATATTTGTCAAACTGTGATGTTATCTCTAAAGCTGTTTTCGTATTTACAGGAGAGAATTGACCAAATTTGGAAAGCTATCAATAATGGTCAGAAATTTCTGGTTATTGATTACACAGGGTATTTGTTCATTTTAAAACTTACCAACCCTATTATCTCGGAGTTGAAAATTCCTGAAACACGTCAACTCTAATTTGAAAGGGGATGAGTTTTTTATGCAAAATTCACCACCCCCCTTTTAACCCCCCAGCCTCCAGAGCCACCCCCTAGAAAATCCTAAATGGAAAGGGGGATCAAGTGATACATCATTTTGGAGGGTTTTTGATTCCATACATTCTGGTACTAAATTTGAATTCCTAAGTTCAACTGTTTTGGAAATATTGACAGTTGAAAATTGCCTTTTTTGCAACTTTGACAGGCTGTAAAACCTAAACGGTTAATTTTAGAGGAAAATCGATCTTACATTTTTATCTTAAATTTTCATAAACTCTCATTTGACAGCAACTTTGAATTTAATCCATGATCAAAAATTCCGGTTAAAAATTTAATCTCCGGGTAAATTCAAAGTTGGTGTCAAATAATAATTTATGAAAATCATCTAGACAAGAATGTGTGAAGGCATTCCTCGAAAATTAACCGTTTAGGTTTTACAGCCTGTCAAAACAAAAAAGTCAATTTTCAACTGTGAATATTTCCAGAACAGTTAAACTTTCCAAACAGGGACCGTTGTGTCCCTGAATTCAAGTTGGTCAATACCTGAAAAAAACTTTCTAACAATTTTCATTGCCAACGAAAGCCCTCGGAGTAGTTGTTTCTGACTGGTCAACGAAGTTCACCCTGTATATTTTCGCATTTCTGAAATTCTCAGTAAATTAGCATCACAAAAATATCAAACACTATTTGGATAACATAAATATACAGGGCGTTCCATTTGAAAAAAATACATTTTTGACGCACCCCTGTATACCTATGACGAAAAAAAAATCGTTATATCGCTTAAGGTTGTAATTTACCAAGAAATTTTTCAACTACATGCCCTTTACTTTCAATAATAGGAAAGTTACTTAGTGTTCCAGTTATAAACAAACCCCCAGTACATATTTTATGTCATACCAATACATTATTGTGTTTATTTTCTACTTTACTATTATAGATCCATAATACCTAGGAAACGAAATACGTTAACACACCTATAACAACCTGATCCATAACGCCCGCTTTTGCGGGCGTTATGATCTATAACGCCCGCTTATAATACCTTAAGGTGTTTTTGTTGTTGTTGTTCTATTAATTTGCACTTTACCCTAGGCAGCCACTAAATGTCTGACCGAAAATAATTTTCGGTCTAGCCAGGATTCGAACCCGGTCTACCATCAATGTTTCCCATGTAGTCCAGCGCGTTAACCTACAGGACCACCACCGTTGCCTTGCCTTATGAGATGTTTATAGATATATTAATGTATTTCGTTTCTATGTACAGGTCGCAGGTACAGGTACAGGTCACAGATACAGGTACATGTCAAAATACAAAACAATATTCTGTCACACAAGTTTAACTGATTTTGTTAATAACAAATTGATGAAAAAACATTGTGTTGAGTAGAAAATAAAGCATTGTATGCACCACGGGGATTTCAAGATTATAATGCATACATAATCCCCTTGGTACATAAATAGCTATTTTATACCTTAGATACCATCTACATAATTAATTACTTTATGCCCGTGCGGGCATAAAGTACACATTATGGCCCGCGCGGGCATAAAGACGCAAAAAACAGTTTTCAATTAACTTATTCTTTATTAACAAAATATAAATTTACGCTTATAAACATATTATTTTTGTCAAAAAATGATGATTTTGCACACTGATGACAATTTGCAAAGTGACGTTTTTCCCAGGTACCTATTTATTATTCACAACCAACTGGTATGACATAAAAGTTTGTATGCACCACGGGTAATAATAGATATATACCCTCGGGCGACTTACGAACCCTCGGGCCAGAGGCCCTCGGCTTTGTAAGACTGTCGCCCTCAGGGCATAATCATCTACTTAGTACCCTTGATACATAAATAACTATTATGGAAAGTTTTGTCATACCTATATAAAAACACGAACTTTTGCATTAAAAGTTACATACTGAATTGAACCATTTGCTGATTCCAAACTTGAAACTGTTAAGTATGTATTTGCAAATCTTTCCGAGTCATGGAAATAGTTGAAATTAAATTATTTCCCAGCAATAGACATTTCTGTTCCGGTTTCCGGTGTAGCTTTAAAATTTATTGTTTTTTTTAATACTTTTCCATAAATAGTATTTCCAAACTCAATTGGAACAAGGTACCAACTGGTGGCTGACTGATCACTGAACATTTCCATAAGAAATGCACTGCCACTAGTCAGCCACCAGTCAGTATCATTTATGTTCACCTTGTTCCAATTGACTTTGGAAAAACTATACCTATATCATTACATCACTGCCTGATGTTCTCTAGTAGCAGGATTTCCAATATTATTTATTTTCAATGAGCCAATCTCTAAACTTTCAAAATGTCCTTCGGTTTATTGCATTTTTTTTCGTGCGGCAAAATTCTGGAAAATATTCTCTAATGGAACATTTACTGCAAACTTCGTTTTTGGAAAGACATTCTTTCAAATTTTTATGCCATAAATTATTGCTTCTTGATGGTATTTTCTATTAATATTTGTCTTGTTCAAATTTATTTTATTAACCTTGAAATCATGTTGATTTTCTTCCAAATTTACAAGATCTTCATTCCACAAAATCTCATAACTTCATCCACAGTTGTTGTTTCTGGCAAAGTGCGGCAATTTTTTCTTAACTCCAGGTTCGATTCTAAAGCAACTCTCATAACTTGATAAACAGGTTTTGGTTAATTAGAAAAGCTTGACCTTTTCTCTGTAAAATGATATAAATAGCTCACCCGGCTCTTGCGTGCGTCTGCGTTTCATGAATTGACTTTTTCCTATGCAACCATTTTATTTATTTTTCAAATGTCCAAGTTCATCATCTGAACTTGAACCAAGTTCGACTTTTAAAAGCAATCTGACAATGTCATAAACATCTTATTAAGAAAACAATAAAGCGGTTACTTGACCTTTAGAATTATTCTGGAAACCTCTTATTCTCCTCCAATCCATAAAGTGGGCTTAAGAAGCATTATCTACCAATTTTTCTGGAATGGGGTATCTAATAAATGAATATTCTGAGTTGCCCTACTAGTTATCAACTGCGGTTTACAACGTCTTCGTCTTTCACATGATTTTTCCCAAACTTATTTTTTCTCTTTTCTTAGGCATTTTGCTTATACTATCAATAGCCGAGTTAAGCAATTACCTAAAGCTTAAGCGTAGATCACCGACTGCGTCATATGTGTATAAATGAATGGAATAATAGGATTATTAGCTATACTTACTTTCAATTCAGATGATATCAATTCAAAATGCGTTTTTTCTTTTCATTTAAGAAAGCCCACCGTATTTGCCACGTTGACTTATCGAGAAAAATCGAAAATTGTATTTTCCCTTCCCGGAAATCCGGTATCTTGCTGCGTTACAAGCTTGTTGTTTGTCCTGCCCGCATTACGCTACATAGAAAACAGCAAGAACTACGAAGAATTTCCTAATGTTAATGTGATTCTGGTATGTATCGTATCTATTATAAATGTCGCATAAACTGATGATTTATTTTAGGAACATTCTATTGTCAACAGAGATCTCCGGCCTGAATATGTCCGCCTCAAAGTATACAGGGATGCCCAAAATCAATTAATAGCAAAATCGACTGGAAATCAAATAAGTAGCCGTTTGAATAGTATGGTCGATGCAAATGCTTTGCTGTGCGTTCCAGGCAATTCTAGTTTTGAAACGGGAACCGTCAAACCTGTACAACTATTTACACAAATATTTTAAATGGATATAATTTGATCAGCTTTATTTGGTGTGGGTTTAATAAATGTAACAGCGGTATTTGTTCTGTTTTATTAAGTATATTTTTCCAAAACAATTAATAAATTCATATTTATGATTCTATAGCTATAGGAGCAGTAATGATCACAGAAATATTCTATCAACAACAACCTTAAATGAATAGGAATATTCCGAATAATTTACAAATTTACCAGTGATTTTCCAATGAATTATGAATATTCGTGAAGCATTATTTATATTATTCAAGAAATATTCCTGTTACAAGCTACAACTAAACTAAAAATAAATATTGTCCCATAAAAGAGCTTTCAACTGCTCAAACAAACTCAAGTTTTATAAAAAAAATACCTATTCTTGCATCAAATGCCTATAATTTTTACATTTTTCACAAGCTGCTATTATTTTGTAAACTCATCTTCAAAATATTTGCAGTTACCGATAACAAACGAAATTGTTGCACTCGATTCTTCAACTGCGACTGCAAATGTTCCTTTTCATCTTCCAAATTTGAAATGTCCTTTTTCAAATTATGAACTTCCTCCGTCAACTGCCTACAAGATTGTCCTTCGTTTACTGTTTTAACTATCAAGTTACGATCAATACGATACTTTTTAATGATTTTAGCTTCGCCAAGAAACTTTTCTTGCTTTTCAATGTCCTTCAAAACAAGTTCTTTTTTAGCTCGATAGTTGTCATGCATGGCACGATATGTTTTCAACTGCCGTTTGTAGCAGCGCATCCTTAAATTCATTCTTTTTTTGTAAAGTTCCAAACGATTCAGTTGTGCCAACATGCTATTGTATCCTGCTTCGCATTCGGTGGGAGATTTACTGGACTTTGCCCAAATGGCAAGTTGTTTCACGAAGACATTGAGTCGTTGGTCTTCTCCAGAGCCTTCTCCGTCCAGAAGAAGTTTTCTTTCGATAATGAATTCTGGAAAAATACATTTAGATGGTCTCATTTTGTTTTAATATTATAATTTTTAATATTCCTTGAAGTGTATGGAAACTTCAATATGTTAAATCATGACAACTTAAAGTATTTCAAATGGTTATACAACTCACTGTACAATATTCCCACATGACACGAGAGGCTTAATAAGTGATAAGCCTTTTGGGATTATCGCGCTTGGTGGGTATTTATGGCAAATTCTATTATAGAAATTTTTTTAAATTTCAGAGTATTAAAGTTTGGTTCGTTGTATAACCTTTTGAATACCACTCGATGTTTCAGGATTACCTAATACTTTTACCAGACACTCAACGCGTTACCAGCAACACCACTCCTCCTTCGGAGTCGTGGTGTTGCTGCGTAACGCTTTTCGTGACAGGTAAAAGTATTATCCGGTAATCCTGAAACCTCTTGTGGTATTACATTCGACAATGAATCGGTAGAGTTGGATTATCGATATTTTTTATTGCTCTTATGCCAAGACAATAAGTTGGTCGATGCGACGATGCGGTCACCCCAAGAAGAGATATTGAGGGTGAGGGATTGATGGAAAGGTTTTGTCCCGAAACTGGGTTCTCATCGGCCGAAGATTTCTTATTTGAGAATATTGTTACTTGAGTTTTAGAAGAATTGAACTTGACTAGTAAAAATGTTAAGGCCCCAGTTGGTAATGGTTTCAAGATCGCTACTGGTAGAGTGAATCTGTTCTCGGGCGGGGCGAGGCGTGTGGAAGTGGCTGTAGTGAGCGGTTCGTCAGAAGAGAGAGAGAGATGTCACTGAGCTACTATTGTCCGCAAAGCCGATGAGGTTTCTTATCACATTTAACAAATCATTTATAAAAATGAGAAACAGTGTTGGGGACAGAATTGCGCCTTCGGAAACGCCGGCATTTATAAGCAGTGTATCAGAATACACACCATCGACCATAACATGCCTTTCAAAAAGCGCTTCAGCCAATGGCAAAATTCATGCGGAAAACCATACGATGGTAGTTTTCGGAGGAGACGATCTGGGCCACACCCGATCAAAAGCCTTGGAGATGTCCAAATGCTACAATTCAGGATTCGCTATTTTTTTTGAGAGTCGAGTTGAGTTCCAAATATGACTTTTCCGGAATAGGATACACTCTGGCACATTTCCCGATAGACGGGAAAGCGCCTCGACTGTAAGACACTGAAAACAGCTGTGGAAGCACGAAACTCGAAAACTCGATAACAAAACAATCGAATAATCGAGTCCTATAAGTTTGTGAGTGACATTTCGATTGATTTGCAAATTTCCATTAAGTGGTCGAGTTTCGTGTTCCCACAGCAGTTTGCGAAGAATTGAAGCCGATTTGCAATGAAGATGTGCTAACGAGAATGTCAAAAGATCTCAAAGTTATGTTCACGCTTAATACTTCAGACACCTACTTGGGAATAACAAATATCTACTTCTCAAGCTCATAATCGACGGAAAAATCGAAAGCGGAAGAGGCCCTAGACGTTGAAGAATGTACCTTGGCTAAATAATTTGCGTCACTGGTATGGCGGAACCACGACAAGTTTATTCAGGAATGCGATCGACAAAGTACAGATAGGGCTGATGATTGTCAACGTTCGTAGAGGACAAGGCACTTGAAGAAGAAGTGGAATGCCGTCGATACCACAATTACCACAAGATTTCCCAGTTGCAGAAGAATTTTCCTAATAGTTTTAGGTGTTAACTATAACGTTCACCACGTAAGAACTGTGGCGCACTGCCATTATCCTCTATCGTGGAATTGGATGCAAATTTTTAATTTTTTCCTATGGTCTTGGCGAAGAATCAAAAGGACCTTGATCCACTCGAGAAGTTCAAGAGTCGATTACGCACTTGTTGTTTGTGTAACTCCTCATAGCCTGGGTAGTTATACGGTTGCAATCATTTAATTCTAGCAGCCGTAAAGGACGATCGAGTTGTTGTTCGCATTGGTTTCTACGCCAGGGCACGATATGCGGTGTTCTTTTTTGCAACCGCTCAGACACACTGCTTGTTAAATCATGGTTTTCTGGCTCGGAATAATTATTGGGAAGTGGAATGTAGAATCCCATATCTAAGGAAATTATTTCGGTAACCTCTTGTGGCGTGCAGCGTAGGAGGAATATCTTTGGATTTAAAAAAAACATCGGACCATGGCAAGATCGAGACAAAGAGTTCTAGGCCTTCCCAGGTTGCTGCTCCATAATGCCACACCCTACGCTACGAGGTATTTCAGCATGGGCTGAGGGTATAACAAACGAACTTCAAGAGGAAATCAGTATGTGGTCTTGGTCTGATTTGCCCAAACGTGCAAACACATCGATTTTGTAAGGATTGGGATTAGTGGTAAGGAACAAATTAAGTAAGTTGGCTTGTTGAGAAACTGCCTCGGTCTACTGTCCCACTCCAAATGATGAAAGATGATACTATCATGATACATGAAAATGTTAAGGAGTGACCAAGGATAGAAATTAGAAAAGGTAGGAGAGAGAAAGCACTCTCAAGAGTAGGTGAAGGAAAGAGTATACTTCAGCTCACGTAACTCGTAAAATGTAACTGAACCCTGGTGTTATATTTTCTACAGTAGAAGTTGTTCGATACAATAGTAGTTATTTGTATACCAAGACCGCAAAATGCCTTTTTAACGTACGTAGAGAAAAGTTATCGCCGAGGCCAAGGTTGTTTGAGAGAGGTAGGTTGCCTTGTAACTTTATGACGTCATCTCCTGGGGGACCTCAACATAATGAAAATATCCATAAGGCACCCTAGATGCGTCATCAGTTTATCCATTACCAGATAAACTATGAACTTTAGGAACCTTGGCCGAGGCAAGATAATCTCGAGGATGCTATAAAAAGTTTTGCGGGCATGGTATACACAGAATACACACTACTTTTTGTGCAACTATGAAAATTATGTAAAGTACAGAAAAACTGTATAGATTTGACACATTTTGCACGTAAAGCTGGAGTCTCATGCGTCCGTTTTCCTTCGATACTATATCCGATAAAAATTGAATTTCGGATAAAATGTATTGCTGAACATTCTCTTAGAACCGTTTTACACGTTTCACGAAATTATTCACGGAATTATTGCCGAAATATTTCGTAAGTTCACTATTCTTGGTTTCGCTTTTTCCTGTTTGACACGGCAAATAAAAGTCATACGCAGGCGCAGTTACGTTTTTGCCATCAATAATATCAAATCATAACCTCATACTTTGATAAATCAAAACAAATAAAACTTCCGTTTTCTAATTGTTATTGAATCTTTGTACCCTCCTGCAGTTTCATAAAGTTGAATTTATTTTTACCTTCCATAAATAATGTTTGTTTTTTTTTTTTTTATTTGCCCAGCTGTTTTTGGGTGCATTACTTTTTTCACCGATGAGCAGTCTATCCTTATCTATTACATAGGAAATTCAATGAAGCATTCATAGGCTCCACGAAAAAGAAACTGCCTTTTAGTGTGCGCCGAAACTCACGCATAGTTTCGGCCACGCCCACAAAAACTATAGAACATTTGCTAAAGTTTATTCGTGAAATATTTCGTAAGTTTTTCTTGTCGTGTAAAACCGGAAAAGTTGACTTACGAAATATTTCGGCAACAATTTCGTAAGTATATAATTTCGTGAAGAAACTTTACCGTGTAAAACGGCTCTTAGGTAGGTAGTTTAATACTGCTGATCTGTCAGTCTCATTTCTTGTAACAAGTTGTGGAAAACACCTTGTTTTTCCGAAAAAAAGTAGAAAATATTCGATTAAAAAGTGGCGGGATATCTTTCAGCTAATAGGAGCTGCGTCGTACCATCCGACGGTCGGAAAACGGACGCATGAGACTTCGGCCTAGATTGGCGGCCGCGAAAGCCTATTTCGGGGACGGTTCCACAAAAATATTATCATTTTTTTTTTAGAACTAAAAAGAGTTATATAAAAAATAGCTCACAACTTACCCTCAGACATTTTGCAAACAATAGTTTAACGTTTTAAATGATATTCTGTGGAAAAATACTAGAGAAAAAAATAAACAACACAAAAAGGAAACTGGAAAACGAAACGACACAAACGGAAATTTCAAAAAAAGGCGGATTGTTGTTGTGTAAGGTTAGGGTTAGTTACCTTGCGTTCGATATTTTGCTCAAAGAGCAGAGCGTGCTGAAGCGGGGCCGTAATCATAGGTGCTTTCCAGTGACCCATTTGAGTTACTCCTGAGCAGCTCAGGAGTGCTCCACAATTACTTTGCGCGTTCCAGTACTTAGAGTGTCGTACACTTGAACTACTCATTTCTGTTATCCCCTTCCCCCTCGTGCGACGTGCACCAACCTTTATTTCGGTGTTTCATGCTCCTGAAGTGCAAAATGGTGGGGGTTAAGACGAGAGCGTTCCAGTGCTGCTTATGTCGAACAGTTCAAGAGCGTCACACTCCAGGAGCATGATACTCTAACAATTTAGGCACGGGAAAGCAGCTCACGTGACCAGCGAGCGCACAGAGCAGTTAAACATTAACCCTTTTCACGTGGCTCCGGTTTAACAAACCGCAACATACCGCTCAAATTCGAGTGGTAGGTATCCATCACGTCACTTCGTAACCGTTTAGAAAACGGTATGTCATTTCTCTAACCGTTTTGTAACTTGTAACCCGGTTAGTTAAACCGGAGCTACGTGAAAAGAACTATTGCATCAGAGCAAGGATGTTACACACTACTACTAGGATAGCCTATCTTCATAAGGCCTGTGTGGGTCAAATCCCCCCTCCCCCCTTAATCCCTCATCAAATCACCAGTTGTGACGTAGCAGCATGTTATTTCTCGCCTTGAAGTCTGTTTTAACAGCTGACAACTCATGCTTCTTATTGCTTCATTCTCATTTGCGCGAAATCGCTCTTGTAGCAAAACGCCCCAATAAGTACCCTATGTAAATGGTTAGATGGTAAATGGCGAGCGGTATATTGATGGTGTTTATATACTTGGAGCTTGCTATCTAAAATCTGTGGAAGAGGGTCTATTTGCAAGAGAGAGAAACAAACTAAGGAGGTGTACTAAATTATATTTTATTTCACATAAAACCCAAAAATCAATCAGCCAAATATCTTCCAATACTTTACATCCTTCTTTAGTTCTATAAAGTCAATACTTCACATCCGTTCTATATTGTTATTTTACGGATCACTGAAATATCCCTACTAAATAAGAAACGCCCTATTCATACTATTTCTCAAAATTATAATTCAACTCATTTTACTACATCCGAATCATTCCTAATAACTATCCTTTACCTATGAAAACCCAAAATAATTACCTATTTGTTTATCAACTAATTTATTCTCATAAAATCTTACAATGACTTCTACTTGTAAAATAAACTCCCTAATTCAAAATTCCCTTCATGAACAATAAATTCTTTTAACAGCTTTCCCATATTCTAAGACAATTCTATTTCATGGACAAATTCTAATATAAGTTTCCTTTTAACAAGTTTCCAATATTTCAAGAAAACAATTCTATTTTATGACATTAAATTTCTTTTCAAAATTTCCTATTACAGTTAATAGTTTATCAGAACAATTCTATTTTGAGTTTCCTTTTTAACAACATTCCAATATTTCAAGAAAACAATTCTATTTTATGTCATCAAATTTCTTTTCAAAATTTCCTATTGCAGTTAATAGTTTATCAGAACAAATTCTATTTTCGGATTCATATGCCTAGCTAATAAATCCAACTGTTTAATTCATAATTCCAACTCAAAATTGTATATTGTTAAATGCATTATAAGTACTCTTCATATTTTTGTTGCACATTTAAATGTCATTATATCAGAAGGTAATTAAGTTATGCGATAATGTTTCCTTTATAAAACACTCAAGTTATTAAGTTTATTGTAGTAAAGTTCCACCGTGATTAACATCAAAAGTTTTCTAGTAAATTCACACAGTTTGTTTTTATGCATTGAAAGTCAAAGTTTAATCACACAAAGTCATGTTCATCAAAAATAAATCTTGACACTATAGAGTAGGTACTTACATTTTGTCCATAAAACACACGTAAAATTACTTAATTAATTACTCAAAATATTTAGGTAGCACGCACATAAAATTATTGAACGAATCTCGAATGTTATTACTTTCACGATTTTCCGTAAATTTTCTAAGTTAATTTATACCCGAGGCCATAAGCCATAAAACTAACTTTTCGCGAAACTGGACAGACTTTAACTCAAATGGACGACTCAACTGTTTTCTGGCAACTATCCTTTCGGCAACTCAAACGCTGCTTTTTATATCTTTTGTTTCCCCTCCGAAATTCTGTGTCCATGACAATTAAGATGATGCAATTTCCTTGGAATTTTATATTATTTTTGATCTAAAATCAATTAATTATGTCGCAATAATCTGATTTATTGAGGTCAACACGTTTGGGTTCAAGAATGCCATAATTCATTCGACTCAATTTTTGGTAAGCGGAAAAGGCCTTGGCTAACAAGTTCATTGATCGGTTAGTTGATGACACAGGTGCTGTGTGTCGAGATACGTAGCTTTAATCTATTTTATTTTAATTTATCGATACAGATTTAAAAATACCGGAATTAAGTTTTTGATTATTTGATAAAAATTAAAATTTTTACAGTAAAGACTTTTTTTATGCGTTTATCAAATGTCAAACTGTCGAAGACATGTCGAAAAAAGAGCTAATAGAGAGTTATTGGAACTATTAAATACTGTTTCGCAGTATTAAGGATTTACGTTATTTCCATGAAAAAAACAGTTATTGGAAGACTGTAGTAGGTGCTAGAGTATTACCTTATTTTGTATTCATAATTTTGACAGCTGATAGCTATGTTTATAAATTTCAGCCCCAAAAAGTATTTATTTTTGTTTGTGATTCTGCTGATAACCATTTTTTGATGTTACCCACAGTAAAATGGAAAACTATTGTAAAAAATAAATTTTCTAGTAAAATTACGTCATCGTCGAAAAGCGAAACGTCAAAGTCGTCCAAAATGTCAGAAATTTGAAACAAGGGAAGTTTACTGCCTTGCACTAACCATACACAAATAAAGACAAGCAGTAACCTTATTAATGCCCACTTGCACCATCTTGTCTAACTGATCAGTTTAATTAACGGACAAGTTAAAATTTAAACGCAGATTAATTTCTAAAGTCTTGCACCGTGATTTTTCAAGTGGGTCAGTCAAAATCTAACTAAGGATCTAGGGAATTTCACTAAAAATCGGAAATATTGGTACAAATCATAGAGTACAAGTTAACATCAAACTCATTTCTGACGCAAATATTTTGACGTTGATGGTGGCAATTAGGTTTCTTTCACAGTTTCTTTCAATATTCCTTTCAATTTTTCAATTTTTTATTATGGAGGAAAAGGGAGAAAAAAAAATGTCGATCCTCAAACTTTCCGGAAGATGAAAAATCTCATTTAATCTTAATCAATAAATAGTTGCCAGATACAAAGGTAGCATCAAAAATGAAGAGACAGATAAAGCCACAAATCAAGAAAAAAGTGCTGCATGTGACAAAATTACCAAAGAATTTCATTAACTTTGGTACTAGTGAATTGACTTATAGGAACCAACTTCTATGATGGAATAATTTCGCTGGCATTTCACTTAAATATAATTCTAAAAATAGTTTCCAATCGAAAAAAGTGAGGAATATTGTATTTAGTTTCCTACGATATGAGAAAGTTTGGGTACGTTTTAGTTACAAAGACGCATAACAAGAAAGTGTTATTAAAAAAATGTTGTCCGTTTTTTTTTTTTTTTTGGTGGAGTTATTTTTCTCTTCTCTTTGAGATTTGGCGAGCGGAGCGACCAGAGACTCAGAAATAATTTAAAACCAGAAGGTGTTATATTTGCAGAAGGTTTTTCATGTTTTTGATGGATTTACATTTCCGAGGATCTTTTAGAACTTTGAGATTTGGCGAGCTGAGCAATCGGAGACTCAAAAATAATTTAAATTTCGAGACCCCATAACTTGGAGTTTGTACTCATGTTCGTCATCGTCAATTTTGAATATGATCTTCTGATGGAAAATATGCATTTTGCGCATTTATTTATAGCTTAAACGTTTCTATTTGCTGAAATCTTTAAATAAAAATATTAAAATGCCGTTTTTATTTTTACCTATTAAGTCACTGGACCCAAAAATCGTTAACTGTGATTTTAAACCACCAAAATTGGGGGTTTATTTTAACAGCAAGTTAGAGGTACTTATGGCCAAATTATGGACCAACTGGTAAGTGTCTGGTTGTTACCTAGCAGGTACTTTCTATTCTCTAGTGCATTTACCAGACGTTTACCAGTAAGTCCATAATTTGGCCCTTAAACAAGGAATAACTTGCGGTGCAAGTAGGGTTGCCAGGTTTGAAAATTGAATTCGCAGGACATGTGTTGAGAAAATGCAGGACAGTCATGGAAAAATCAGGACTTTTTTATTTTCCTAAAATAATATTTATAATACCTAAAAATACGTTAAATAATACCTAATAAGGTTCAAATTAAATACGATCTCGGTAGGTATTCACTTAGTTTCATATGTTTTCCTAATATTTATAATAAAATCAATAATATTGTAGACAACATTACATGACAAAACAAAAATAAACGAAAGCATATTATAACTTTTTCCTACGAGCGTGCGGAAAACGCATTTTCCCGCACCGATTTGCGTGCGGAAAGTACCACTGCGTGCGTGAAAAAAATGTTACCGCACGGCGTGCGCGAAAAATGTTTTTCACGCACGCTGTGCCCGAGAAAAGTTTTTCACGCACTGATTTATTTTTTTTTTTTCAATTTTTCTCTTGTCATGCTTTTCAAAAATTTAAACCTTTTCGAAAATGCTCAACCCTTTTTTCTCTTCAAGAAAGCTTTTGGGTTTTTGTACTGACCAATATCGACCTCTTTAATGAGTTGTATACCATTTGTATACCATAAATAATTAATTTTACTTATAATAAAAATAATAATTGCTAATGTTCTGTTGTTAAAATTATTGTGTTATTAAAACTTCATTGAAAAATCAAGTTTTTGACCATTTCTT